CCAAAGCCCCAGCAGCCTAACTGCCAGAAGCCCAATGGATTAACTACCAAGAGACTCAGCAGTTTAATTACACATTTAAACTCAGCTTTGCCCTTAATTCCCATCAGCCCCCATCCGTGGTAGATTTTGAAAAGGTGAAGTTTAGAAAGCTTCACTTTCAGCCATTAGGTTGGTTATCAGCACCATTCTCCAGCTTGGAGGTTGCTCCTCACTGTTCCTTTTACTGTTTCCCCAATTTTCATTTTTTATCACCATTTCTATGATGATAAGACTCAGATGTGTGAATGCTAGGGTGTGGCCTAGAAGACCATTTTCTTTGGGGTTGCAGTGTACTCAAAGGAAATAACATCAGTTATGAGACATTGTCCATACATAGTCATTGTGGCAAAGTCCTCCATTTATAGAAAACAGTCATTCAGTTCAAACTAGAAGAGAAAAATATCTCAAAAATGGTTAAGAGAGGTTACTATTAAAATGATTTTCTCTTGCCTTCATCTGTTCAATAGTATAGCAATATATATTTTAAGTTTATCTAATTCAAATCTGTTTGATCTATTTTGCATAAATGCATAGGACAGAATAACCAAGTAGAATTTCTGTTGGCTTTGTTGGAGCTTTCTGTAAGGGAAATTATTAATAGATTGAGCTCTAAGCATTTGGCCTGTCCAGGCCTGAGGATCCATGCCACAGGAAGTCTTACCAGATACTACCTGCAACATTTGTACCTCTGGGAAATTGAGAATATTTCCTCTTCTTGAGGTTCCCAATGCTTTTTCTCTTTGGGGGTCTCCAGAACTCGAAAGGATGGTAGTCTTTACTATTCTACGTTAGATCTCTGCAGCCTTTCTCACAGACAAGGTGTCTTCTTCTTGGCCCTGCTCAATCTCTACCACCAGAAGGTCTCAATTGTGACTTTCCAATCAAATCCTGAAAACTGTAGCCATCTATTTGCAATTCTCTCTATAAAAAGAAACAAAATTCTTTATTGGAATTTTGCACAATGCCATATTATGATGGTATCAGGGAGAGAGAGAAAATGCAAACAAAATTGAGTTCTGCTCACAAAATGCAATTACTGCAGATCATGGTTGGTTAAAATTATTTTTTCCTTGAATCAAAGCAAACAAAAATAACCCAGTAAGTCTTCAAATAAAAACATTAAATTTATTCAGTTCTATGTAATGAATTCTAAATACTGAGTGTGTCAGTTAGCATGGTTCTCAAAATTTTGCCAAGGCCATTCTCTTAATTTCTCCATAAATGATTTCTGTAAATGTTAAAACTCTGAAATTACAAAATTAAAGCTCTGATACTAACAAGGAAATTTGTTCAACATTATAATTTATAACATCCCAATATAACAAACAGAATTGGCAAGTAATATCACATCAGAACATATCAGATACTTAAGAAGTTTCACATAATTTTGGAACACCAAAATTAATGCATGTGCTGGGCCACCCTGGTGGCACAAGTGGTTGAGTACTGCACTGTGAAACTGTCCGCAGCGTCTGCAGCACAAGTTTGATTCCCAGGCGGCCAGGGAGCTACCCACCTGGCATAGCAGACCTCTCCTTTTTTTGCCCACTGCTCCCCTCAGCAGTGTATTTCGGTCAGTCAGCCTGTTCTGTTCCCCATTCTGTCTCTGGTGAATCCTCTCACCCCCTGCACTTCTGGCCTGTTTCCAGTTCTTGATGCATAAATAAGTAAATCTTTAAAAAAAAATAGTGCGTATGCTAAGGTGAAACTGTCTCAAGGATCAGTGCTTCCCATTAAGTTCCATTTTACCAGATAAATATCAAATAGGTCAAATTCACCTAATCTTTTTCCCCTAAGGAAAGGGACATATTTTATAGAGGATCTCAGGACCTACTGAGGTTCCATAGTGTTAGAGAAAACACCATTTAATTATGCAACACTGACAATTTAAGATCTCGAAGCTCCAACTAGACTCCACCAGCACAATAATAACAGAATTAGACCTTTCTTATCTTATAGTTCTTTGCAAAAGTAACCGTTTTTTTTTTTCCCCTACCAAAGCTTCACTTCCTTCAGTTCCACAGTTGGAATTCTTAACCATGCAAAGCCTTTAATTTCCCAAATCCCATTTTATCTGACATTTAATGACTTAAGCAGTTCACCTCTGATTGCATTTTCTGTGAACATGTACCCAGGACAAATGACATAGACTAAAAGAAAAAAAATTATGTTCCATAGCACGACTTCAAAGATATACATGTCAGACCAAATTATTAAATTCCAAACTAGTTTTCATAACTTAAGTTCTAAATTAATTTTCATTAACCACAGATTATCCCAGACCACACTTTCTAGAATTACTTGGACCAGTTCCTATTGTATTTCTGTGCTCAAAATTTCTATAGTTGCCATCTATAACAATTTCTGTATCCTCTGGAGACCAGAACAAGTGGACGCAAAGGAGAAGACATGCAGACATACAACATATGGACATGGAGATCTCCCTCATGTTTTTTTTTTTAAATTATGCTCATCATTTCAGGGTTTAATCAGAAGTTAATCCTAGGGTAGCTTATAACAAACTGGAAGAAGAAATATTTAAACTTTTGTCTTTTTCTTAGCTATGTCTTCAAAATGTTCACAACTCTACAAGGTTTTAGTCCCCAAGTCATCACCTTCTAGGACTTTCTTCATTCTGGAAAGATGCACCTAGGGTTTTATGCCTGAAAGTTTTATAGAAGTGGGAGTGGTTAGAAAAACATCATTAGGACCAGGCCATTTTTCTTACAGCTGGGCTTCGGCATCTCTACCAGGTCTTGTGTAAGACCTGATCACCAGATCTGAAAGGAGGTGTGATAGTTAATCTGGATGCATGGAAGTCCTAAATAGAGCAAAGTTATGAAATACAGCTAAAACTTCCTGAATATGTTTTACATATTATTTGATCCTTTATTCTTGTTCCGTGTCTGGTGCAGTGTTCAAAATTGAAGCTTGGAATGGTCTTCTAAAACAATTTCAAAGGGCTTTAAATGTCACCTACTTCTAGGATCCATGCTTATCTGAAGGAGGGTGGTGGAAAATACTAAATCCCAGTTGCAAATTGGTTTTTTGGCATATTTTTAACAAAGTCTTTTTTTATGTGATGTTCTTTCTCAGTTTGTCCTGTAGATTATGGTCTCCAGGAAGTGTGTAGCTTCCAAGTAATCTGTAAAGCATTGCTTTCCTTCTGAGTGACTTCTGAAACAAACTCAGGTCCATTGTCACTCTGAATAAAGTTGGACAATCCCAAGCAAGGAATTATTTCCTTCAGCGTTTATTTGGCAATCTCTGAAACTTTCTGTCCTGAGGGGGAATGTTTCCAACCATCCCAAGAAGGTATCCACAAAGTGCAAAAGATACTTATAATTGCAAGTTGTTCTGGGCATTTGGATAAAATCTACTTGACACGCTATAAAAGGGTAGATTCCCCAATATTGAACACCAGTAGCTTTAGGGAATGAGTCTTCAGATTTTTCTTAGCGCAACAATGGCAACCTTGGGTAATCTGCTGAACCACTTTGCAAATAGGAGCCCTTTCTATATGTACTCTAGAAAAGACTCTAGCAAGGCATCTCTCACATAGTGGGATCCCTCATGTAGATGTTTCAACACTGGGAAAATTAGGACTTCAGGGAGGATTATCATTCCATGTGAGTTCATTCTTGAAGTGGAACTTGGGTGGAAGTTGGTAAAACCCCATTCATGGGCCCTTTCCTTATCCCCGTCTGTGTATTTGGTAACAAACTGAGATAAAAGTTCGTGAGAGGGATAAGTCTCTCCAGAGAACAGAAATGAGCAGTGGCCTTAATTGCACAGTCAGCTGTTCTGTTTCCCTTTGCAATTTCAGATCTATCCCTTTGGTGGCTGGGACAATGAAACACTGTTATAACTGATAGTAAAGCTGCTATTTTCAGCAAGGCCAATATCGCAAGTGTGTGCTTAATGTCTTTGTTGCTGGCTGTAAGGATGTCCCTTTCCTTCCAGATGGCACCATGTGTATGCAAAAGCATGAAGGAATATTTCAAATCACTGTATATGTTTACTCTCTTTTCCTTAGAGGATTTGGGTCAGGGCTATCAGTTCAACCTGTGCTGATGTCCCTAGTGGGAGGGCTTTGGCAACCTTGGTGTCCTAAAATGTCATCACTACCTATCCTGCACATTAGTGTCCCTGTTCCATAAAACTGCTCACACTGAATCTGAAAGGGTTTGCTCTGACAAACCTGGTCAGCTAGATTACACAGTTTCAATAGTTTCTAGACAGTTACAGGTTAAGATTTCATCTGCATGTCTCTCTGCATTCATTGGGAGCAAAGCAGATTTAAAGAGTGGGTGACTCATAAATGCATATTAGGATTATCTAATTGAGCTGCTTGATATTTTCCCATTTGCCCAGCAGTCAAGCAAAGTCTACCGTTCTGTTCCAGCAATGTCAAAACCCAGTGTGGCACATACACATTGTGATGGGATGACCTCAGGGGAGAGTTCTTCATGCAGTGCTGCACCCAGCCTGGGGTAGGGGTAATACAGTCAGTTTTCTTAACCTTTTAATGGTCTCTAGTGCAGGGAGTGTTTCAGCCTCTCCTCCACCCCCATATTTTGTGATGTCTTGTCCATGAATAGTTCTTAGTTCTCCTTGTCAGGGGGAGGGTAGTCAGGAAAGGCCTATTTTATCATTTTGATCCATTCTGAGTCTAAATGAAACTTTGTGTATTTTTTAGCTCTGTCATAATTGTTTTAGACCAATGTGGTCCAATAGAAATTTTTGCATTGACAAAAATGTTTGATAATCTGCCCAACATAGTAACATCTAGCCACATGTGTCTACTGAGCACTTGAAATGTAACTTGTATTATGGAGGAACTACATTTGAATGTTTAATTAATTTAAATATAAAAATAGTCATGTGTATGGGACAGCTTAGTTCTAGACTTCATGAAAAATGAAATTTCTATAAACATTGGCTGCTTTTCTCTTTTCTAGTTGTGTTGGTGTCGAAGAGGAGAAGGCTGCTGACATCGATCTCTACCACTGCCCCAACTGTGAGGTCTTACATGGGCCCTCTATTAGTAAGTAGATCTTTGGGTTTCCAAGAGAAGGTGTTCCAGAGGAGAGAAAGCAAGGAAGCTTGGAAGGGAAATTGCCTTTGCCTAAGTGCTTCAGATTCGTCTCTCTTAGGAAACAGTAGAAACTTACTCAGGCCTCGAAACCCAGCCTCACCACTGTGAAAGGGCAAAAGTACAGAGCTTCACCTCCCTGCATTCCTAGGGATTCCCCAAAAGCATCACCTGGTCCTCACCAGGGACTTTAAGTCTGTGAGAAACTCATTAATTCCACGTGCTCCAAGCATTTGTTAGATTAGAACAGAAGCAGGATCTGCTGAGGCCTTTGATTTTTGAAACAACAGCTAGCTTATGACCATTCTGACTTACTGTCTCATGTCTTTTTCTGGCTTAGTGAAAAAACGCCGTGTGTCATCGAAAGGGCATGAAACACAAAAGGGGAAGCCAGTGAAGACTGGGAGCCCTACGTTCATTCGAGAACTCCGGAGTAGGACCTTTGACAGGTGAAACCCTTACTTTAAGGGCAGGCATACAAATACCAGGACTCAGGGAGCCTGTAGAAAAACTCTTGAGTTCCCTCTGGGAACTGATTTAGTCATTTTCTGAGAAACATTGCTAGAGCTTCATTGGATGTGTCGCATACATGAAGGTCTACTTGTAGAAACTTTTGATAGATTGGGAGACAGATTTCACCTGTCAGGAAAGGATATTTACATGTACTCTAGGAATGCTAGAACTAGAAGAAGTGCTAAAGATAAGTTTAATTCTCCTGTAGAGAGAAATTTTCAGTATTCACATATTTCTTTAATAATAAAGAGTTTTTTTCCCTTAAAAATTTAAGATGAACTTCTTAAAAAAAATTTACTGGAATTAACTTAGAAACATTTAATGAATAAAGCACTCTCTTTTGCTTAGTTTTTAATTCATTTGACCATTTTCAGTTTTCCTATAATTGAAGTATGATTTAGGAGTGTGTTTCTTGAAATTAATATTGTTTGTTTTATTTATTTAAAAGCAGTGAGTCTCCTTTTTTTAAAAAAAAGATAACTTTATTAAATGGAACATTATATACACACTACTTCATACCATGTCTACATTAAGATATATTTAAAAAAAAACATTTTTCCATTTTTGATACATGAATTACAATAAAATGGAAGAGACATTACATTAATATATAACAGATAAAATCAATGTAAATTTTCCAAAAACAATGTACATTTTAGAAATACATGTTCTATATTATTTAAGTGACTTCCACAGAGGTTTCCTGGGGTCCTTGATCCTCAACTCCCTGGCTGAACAACAATGGCGCCTGTGGGTGTGCTTTCCTGGTGCCCACAGTCCACCTTAGTGGAGGATCCCCATCTCAGCTCCAAATTGCAGATGTGCACAGGGCCTGGCTTGCGCATGCTTTTCAGCTCACCTTCATCTACGGAACTTGCCCTCTCTCAGTTCCACAGAAGTTTCATGGGGTCCCTGACCGCCACTCCCTAGCTTGCCTTCTCAAAGTATTTTTTAATTTCTTTTTTGATCTCCTCTTTAATCCGGTGGTCTTTAATTTCCATGAAGTGGGAGGGTTTCTTGCTGTTTTCATGGTTTATTTCTAGTTTGATGCCTTTATGATCAGAATAATTGGTATGATTTTGATCTTAATGTATCTGTTGATGTTGTCTTGTGGTCCAATATGTGATCAGTCCTGGAGAATGATCCATGCGCACTTGAGAAAAATGTGTACTTGAATTTTTTTGGGTGCAGTGTCTTATTAATGTCTGTTAAGCCCATGAGGTCTAGGTCAGGGCTCTAGTGTCTTTGTTGATCTTTTGTCCTGTAGATCTGTCCATTGGTTAGAGTCGGGTGTTGAAGTCTCCTACTATAAATGTATTTTGTCTAATGTCTGTTTTCAGAGTTGATAATAATTGTCATATATTTTGGTGCTCCTTCATTTGGCGAGTATATGTTGATGAGTGTTATATCTTCCTGATGTATTGTCCCCTTAATTATAATGTAGTTTCCATCCAAGTCTCTTTTCACCTTTTTTAGTTTGAAGTCTACTTCATATGACATAAGTATAGCTGTTCTGCCTTCTTTTTGGTTAATTTGCTTTAAGGATTGCTTTCCAACCTTTTACTTTCAGTCTTTGTTTATCTTTTGTAGTTGAATGTGTTTCCTGGAGAAAGCAGAAGGCTAGATTTTGTTTTTTATCCATCCTGCTACTCTGTTTATCTACAATAAGATACCACCTCACACCTGTCAGAATGGCTAGCAGCAAAAAGAGAAGAGATAATAAATGCTGGTGAGGATGTGGGGAAAGGGGAACTTAATGCACTATTGATGGGATTGTAAACTGGCATAGCAACTATGGAAAACAGTAGGGAAGATCCATAAAAAATTAAAAGTAGAAATTACTCGAAGATCCAGTAATCCCACTCTGGGAATATATTCAGAGGAAACTAAAACTCTACATAGAAGAAATATCTGCATCCTTCCCCTCCATTAAAACCTCAGTGCCCATAGATAGATGAAAAGATAAAGTTGTTTATATGAAAAGTCACACGTCACTTAATGGGTATACGTTCTGAGAGATGTTATTAGCTCTAGACTGTACTACTACTCCAACCCAAAATAATCAATGATGAAAATAGCCAGCCAAGAATACTGTATTTTGATGCTAGCTCCAACCCTTGGGGCTGGTACTAACCTTGTGAAACACACTGACAGCTCACAGACTACTGAGTCTTAGATGTGGAGCCCCAGAGAAGAGGGTTACTGACAGTACCAGAAACACAATTGGGCTGGATTCCTCCGAGGCCTGCCCCCACTCTGCTGACTCAACAACAGCAAATACAGGTCTCAGTACCTATGGTCGCCTATAAGGCCCAAAATCCAAACAGATCACATAGCCTTAAGCAGGAAAAATAAAAGTAGCTCATCTAAATTCTCACTATATATTTTTTCAATGATATATGGAAACTTAAAGTAGAAAATATGAAGACACAAAATATGACTTAAGATCTCAAGTGCAGATGACATCACAATAAGAGCATGACTCTAAATACAACCACAAAGACATTGAAGATTATCTTTCCATCAGATTGTCAAAATTGCTGTAATAAAGAAACTCAAAGATAGAAGATAAATCAGAAAAGCAAGTCAAAGTGATATAAAAAACCCATAAAAACTTAGAAATACAAGAAAATTCAGAAAAAATGACATAAAAATAAAATGAACAGAAGGTAAATATTAAGAATTAAATTTAAATAACAGATTCATAATGTAAAAGACTTAATAAATGGGATAAGAACTCAAGAGGAAGATAATGGAAGCAGAGTGGACCCAGTGGAGGCTCAAATTACCTCAAAGATAGTAGTGCACAAAAGACCCACATGGAAGAAGAGAGAAGTAAGATGTGAAAAAATGAATAAGTACTTCAAGATCTATTCAGCTGCATTAAGAAAGGCAACAGAAGGATAATGGGTAAACAAGAAGGGTAAAAGAGGAACAGAGAGCTTATTCAAAGAAATTATAGAGGAAAATCTACCAAATCTGCAAAAGGAACTAAATATACAAGTACACAAAGCTAAAAGAACACTGGGTTATCTAAATGCAATGAGATACAAAAAGACACAGTTTCCCTACTTAAACAAGAGTTCAAAATAAAGAATTTAGAAGTTGGCTAAGGAATAAAAGGTGGTGAAATAAAAAAAGTAACCTCCATCAGATTTTCACTATATTTTTTAGCCGACACACCACAGAAAAGGAGAAAATGGAATGGGTAGCATATTTGAATGCAAGATACTCAATGATAAAAATAGCCAGCCCAAAATACTGTATCCTGCAAGGCTCTCAGATTTTAAAGTCTTTCTAAAAAAACAGAAGCTTCAGGAATTTTCTAACACTAGGCCTTTGCTACAGAAATTTTGAAAGGAGCTCTCCTATCTAAATCAAAAAGAAGAAAGTCCGCAAAAATTGAAAAAGTATTAAAAACAAAAAAAGAAAAACAGTGAGAGTATTGAGCCCTCATATAGCAATAATCACCCTAACCCTAACCCTAAGTATAAATGAACTGACTCGCCAAGCCACAAGGTGACTGTTTATTTATTTATTTATTTTTGCATTCAAAAGGTCATACAGGAATTTATTTTGTATGTGCGTGGTTTGGTTTTGTTTTTCTTTTTTTATTATTTTATATATTTTTTACATCATTTTTCATTTTTGTACAATATATGCATTTTCATCTTGGTTCTAGTCCCCATAAAATTCCCGCCACCCTTGTTGTGATCCTACTCCCTCTGCCCCCAGTAGTGTGTCTCTGGTTTATAGTTGCCTGTCAATTTTGATTTTTACTTTATTATAATTAGTCTTTTTCCCTGATCCCTTGTTTGGGTATTCTAAATTCCTGCTATGAGTGAGACTATCCAGTATTTTTCTTTTTCTTTCTGGCTTATTTCACTGAGCGTGATCCCTTCCAGCTCTATCCATGTTGCTGCAAATGGCATGAGTTTTATCTTTTTTGATTGCTGAGTAATATTTCACTGTGTTTATGTACCACATATTCTTGATCCCATCATCTATTTTTGGGCATTTGAGTTGTTTCTGTAGCTTAGCTTACCTGTTGTAAATAGTGCTGCAATAAACATAGGGGTGCAGGTGTCCTTTTGAATTAATGTTTTTTTCCTTTATTTTTAATTTTATTTTTATATTCCCCATACAATTGCTACCCCCTTATTTTGATCACAATCCGTCCTTTCCCCGCCCCCCCCCAATAGTGTGTCTCTGGTTCATAGTTGTTTGTTGATTTTGATTTTTTCTTTCTTATACTTATTCTTTTGCCTGGTCCCTTATTTAGGTTTTCTAGATTCCTGCTATGAGTGAGACCGTCCGGTATTTTTCTTTTTCTTTCTGGCTTATTTCGCTGAGCATGATCCTTTCCTGCTCCATCCATGTTGCTGCAAATTGCATGTGTTTATCTTTTTTGAATGCTGAGTAATATTCCATGGTGTATATGTACCACATCTTCTTGATCCAGTCATCTATTTTTGGGCATTTGGGTTGTTTCCAAAGCTTAGCTACTGTAAACAGTGCTGGTATAAACATAGGGGTGCAGGTGCACTTTGGAATTGATGTTTCTGTGTCATTTGGGTAAATACCTAGGAGTGGAATTGCTGGATCATGTGGGAGCTCTATCTTTAGTAGGTTGAGGAATCGCCACACAGCTTTCCATAGTGGTTGGACCAGTTTGCACTCCCAACATCAGTACAAGAGAGTTCCTTTTGCTCCACATCCTCACCAACATATGTTGTTGCTAGTTTTTTTTAATATGTGCATTCTCACTGGTGTAAGATGGTATCTCATTGTAGTTTTGATTTGCATTTCCCTGATTACAAGTGATGTTGAACATTTTTTCATATGCCTGTTGGCCATTTGTATTTCCTCTTCGGAGAAGTTTGTTTTTAGCTCCTCTGCCCATTTTTTGACTGGATTATTTTCTTTGTTTTTGGTG